GTATGAGATCAAATTACTCAGTTTTGGTTTTTAATCATAGTAAATAAAATTCTCAAACTCAATCTCTTAGAAATATGACTTGCCTATTTTTCTCTCCCCAGAAAGAATGTACTGAAATGCTCTCAGTACCTGTCATTTAAAATAGGTGTATTTTCTAATCATACTAAACATATTTAGAGATTATAATATTTCTACTAATAACTCTCTCACAATCATTTGTATTATTTTTACAAAGTAATTTCCACATGCCCTCTTTTAGTTTCCCTCAAAATCCTTTGAATTTTGGCCCTGCCACACACTGGTAGGAATCTTGGAAAGATAAATGTACTCTTTACCTTTTATTTTCTCATTCATGTTATTGGAACTTTCATAATAAAACTCATTTAATTGTGAATGAGGACTTAAAACAAAATAATACTTGTGAGGCATTAACTTGTGATCAATGAGTAGGAACCAATTTCATGCATGTTGTTCTCTCATGTCCACAAACACCACACTTCCAGAAAATCATGTGCACCAATCAAGAATAATGGAGAAATGCATGATGTAGAAAGATTCAACTGCTTCTGGTATTTACATGAAAAATTTCTCTAAATTAGACTGTTTCATTTCCATGTTTATTCTGGGAATGGATGGATTATTTTAGGGTTTAGCACTTTGTATCAGCCATGTGTGCTGGATCCTATAAAGCAGCCAATTTTCTGTTTATTTTTCCGTTGAATGTGCATTTGAGTATCACCTACTTTGGAGCACACACTGGGTGAGGAGCTGTAAACACACAAGAAAACCAGACAGTCGTGGATATGATACACTCCAGTTGTGAAAAAAAAAAGAAAAAGTTATCTTCTAGGAAGATCAACATTCTTATATGCAAAAACGTAGTATAAGAATGATACCTATTGAATTGCATAAAGTGAACCTAATTACCTTTGGAATTATGGGGTTCTCATTTTAAATGATTGTCTCTCTATCCTTGACAGACACATATGTATATGCAGAGTAAGTGTGTGTATACACATACTCATACACTTTTAAATAATAGAGGAATTTTTGACTAGTATTTGCTCTCTTTTCTTCTAGCTTTCACCACTATTAATCCCAGAGAAGCTGATCTGGAAGTTGAAAATGGTAGGTTTTAGTCTATGTTTACCTTTATCTCATGCTGTAGCATTTTCCCCTCCTGATCATCTTAACTTTTGAATTTCCTAGCTTAAGGAAAAGCCAGAATACCTGGCTGTTGCAAAATAATCTGACATTTTAATTAACTCATCATTAATTAATGACTCCTAGAAGTCATAGTGATAAAAGCAACTCTTGTCTCCAGTTTTATTCAAAGAAATCGAGATGTGACTTTTCCTACCTTCTAACATAAGAAATAATTGAAGAAAAATATTCCCTCTGCTAAAGTTGGCTGGTTAAAAAAACAAATAGCTCATGTGCTGAGAATAATTAAAATACAAGAAGATTGTCTATTATATTCTTTATACTTAAATTTTTATTCATAATTTGGTCCATCCATAATTCAGTTTACTTAAATCACTTGTCCTAGTGTTCTCAGAAGCAGAACACCTACACAAATTTCCATTGAGTAATAAGTGTACCACTTATGGTAACTATGAAATAATTGTATTTTTAAAGGTCCATTCTTTTGAGAGAAGTAATGGTTAATTTTAATAATGATTTCTGACCAATTTAAATGCATCCATGGTGATTATATTGAAATATTTTCAGAATTGATAACTTGATCTTAACGGCTTAAATATTTTTTTTTGGTATTTAAATGAAAAAAATGCACACAAGGCATTTAAACTAGTGTCTGACACAGCAATGATCACTCATAAGGTACTACCTTTTATTAATATAGATTGATTCTCATGTATCTCTGTCAGTGGATATTACACACAAACATAAATCACACAAAGAGAGTAAAACATGGTGATGGATAATTGTTTAGTATATGTTTTCATTTTTTAACTCATTATGATGCTTCTTTGAAAGAGGAAAATGGTTTTAGTGTACTTTGACTTATGTTAGGTTACAGCTTTTTCTGCTCATGATCGTCTTTATTTTTGAGCTCCTTTCTTAGGGTAGAAAATTTAGAATGGCTGAAAGTTGCAGAATAGACTGAGTCCAATTTTAAATTAATCCATCATTTCTTTGTTTTTCATTTTTAATTAATTTTTAAAATTTATATGTAACAGCAGGTTGCATTCGAATTCTTATTACACAAATAGACCACAATCTTTTATATCTCTGGTTTTATACAAAGTATATTTACACCAATTCATGTCTTTATACATGTACTTTGAATAATAATGTCCATCACATTTCATTATCCTTTCTAACTCCACACCCCCTCCCTTCCTTTCCCACCCCTCTGCCCTATCTAGAGTTAATCCATCATTTCTTAGACCTTGTATTATCATAGCAAATAAATTGTTTTAGATAAGATGATGGTGAATTAGAAGATATAGTGGCATGCTCTGAATTATTTTTACAAACGGACTTCATTTATTTGTGTGTCTGTTTTTCCCTGTAGTGACAGGGGCAAGCATAATATCAACTTACTTCTAGATTTGTTTATTTATTTTTCATCTTTCGCTAGCTGCTAGTAACATGAACTGTCACAGAGTCATTTTATACAGAAGGCTAGAGATGGGGGTCTGCATGCACTTTTGTTCTTAAACCTTAGAAAACCTCTATGATGTGATTCAGCTAGTTTTCTCACATTTTCCAGAGGTGGGCAATGAGCTTAAATTAATGAAGTTTTTTGCCCATTCTACATGTCTATACCAGATGTTTCAATGCAGCCCAGCTGATACCCTTGCTCTGTTCCACATTCTTCTTCTAAAAGGAGACCTAAAACAAGGAATTGCTAGACCAAGGCTCTGAGACCCTATGGCCATATGGTAGTGAGGGTAAGAATATGGGTTTAGAATACCATCAATCTCTAAATAACCAGTTACATAAATATGGGTGAGTGATTTCCATTCTGCAAATAGTTCTTTGTTAATTGGCCAATTCACAATAATTATATTAAACTCAGAACTATTGGAGTGGCACAATTCCAGGTGTGAAATGTCTAGAATAGGTTCTTTTTAGCAGGCTCTGGTTCTTTTTCCCTACACATGTGCAAAAATCCCTGGTTGTTGTTCTCCTGTTTCTTATTCCCCTGGGTCTCTGAACCTCAGCTGCCACCCCAGGCAAGGAGAAGCTGGAACTGCTCATCTAGTTTAGAACAGGGTATCATTTGCACATTTCTGGAGGGCCCTTTTCTGACCAATGGTGAGTTTTATTTAGTTCTGATTGTATGAACATAGAACCTGTAAAAATTGAAATTATACCAATAACGGTCTTGGTTTGGTGACTCACTGCCATTGTATTAAAATAATAATTGAGATCTCATATTTCTTTCCAAACTTTGAAGGACATTGATGGCAATGATCCCAAAATATCACAGTTAAAATAAGAGATATGTGGAAAACACTTGTGAATGTGCAGGTACCATACATTCCTGGGAATTTGGATTAACCACTTTCTTCCATTTTCTCTAGTGCTTAAAAAAAAAAATCTTACACAATCCATGTGGAAGACCACTAAATTTTCTTAGGTTGTACAGTTCCTACATATCCATTGTATTCACAACATGGAAAGCCCAGAGGCTTCCAAATAAATAAGTCTACTGGTATTTAAACCTGTTGGATGTTGACTGTACTTTCATATGCAGAATCACAGGGAAGATGACAGTGTATTCTATAAAATCATATTGCTGTGGTCATGACCTGGACCTGACACTTAACAAATACATGCATCAACCAAATTCCTCCTTTCTGTGTCTTCACTTTGTCTGAATAAATATTAAACAGCACTAAAGCTTTTTTTTTTTTT